GTAGTAATTTAATAGAATGTAATAGTATGTAGAATATATCGCAGTATATTAAAATTATTGAAAAAGAGTAAACTGTACAGAATTTTATATTTCAATTCATTGTCAGTCAAGTCGGACCAAGAGGGTAGAGTCAAAGTGAATATATGTTGAAAAGATTGATTTATTCACTGTTTTCGTTTCATAAATTATTTTTCCGTAGTCACTACAAGCGAAACTTCAAAGTGTAATATGCGCTGATAGCTAACTTGTATATGACAACGCGCTGCGCACGAAATGTAGCGATTATCTATTAGAGTGTAATGTGAAAGGGATGCTTTAGCAACAATTTTAGTTAACTTTTCTTCCTCAAATACGTGATAACATATCATTTTTATATTTATTTAACGACTATTGCACAATACAAGTGCGGTATAAGCAGTGCCGGATCTACACATAAGCTAGATAAGCTACAGCTTAGGGGCCTCACATTATAAGGGGGCCTCTTTAGTATAGAAAAGATTTAAAAAAATATATTTTTTGTTAATAAGAGGGGGCCTCCTTAAGATCATAGCTTAGGGGCCACAAAATCGTACATCCGACCCTGGGTATAAGCGATGCGTCATGCAGCGCGACGCATATAGTGTGATACTGATGACTCATTTTTGAAAGATGCGATTTTGGAACATAATAAAATCATATATGGTTGAATTCAGCGTAAAAAATGCTACAACTTTTGTCATTACAAAAATTTTGAAATTTGAAAAAATAATAACAAGGGGTAAGGGTAAATTAAAAAAAATTAATTTTTTGAAAATCCAACTACACAGTTATAAAGCCCATTACAAGCCATACAACTTCTATTTGAAACATTTTTTATATTTCCTACGGTTTTGGCGATAGTTACACACAAAGAAAAAACCCGTTTTTTTCAAAAGAGTGTTTCACCCCTTAAATTTGAGTTAACGCCGCTATAAAAAAATACGTGTCTCCTCAAATTGTATGTTTTACAACATATTTCAAGGAGAATCAAATCGGGAGGGGACACTTGTGAACGTTCTCTTAGTAAGAATAACATATCATTTACTTTCTAGAATCAAATTTTGATCAGTTTTATTTATACGTTTTATGTATATTTTATGTATGTTTATTTTGAATTTGCACCTTAAATAATGTATCAGTTACTTTTTATGTTGGTAATATATTAAAAATTTAGATAATTATTAAAATATAAACATATTGGAGTGTCTTTTTTGGAACTTGGCCAGACCTTATCATTTATAAATTTTTGTGTTATTAATAAATTATTTTCACCAATGTCTTCTCACCATTCGAAAATCCTGTTAATTTTAGTTTCGGAGATTTTTCTAACACGCATTGCGAAATTGAAGCCTGCACAAACGTTGCTATTATTCGATCATGGTGTAAAAAATCTTTGTGTCTCAAACATTTTTTCGATGACTTATTATTGTTCTAGCTTTGAAAACTAATTCACATGTAAATTATTGTATTCATAATAATGCAAGTATTTATGGAAATATAACGTGACAATTTATAAATTGGTGATATTTTAAATCTGCTTTGATTACATTTTGATCCTGCAATATTCTTGAATACATTGTTTTCTTGGAATTTTTCGTACATCAATCGTTATATACTTTAATATTGCTTGCTACGGAGTGCATTTTCATATATTTCCGTACATTTACTTTTGGATAATCATAGTCATATTTAGGGATGATTTACCCCCGTAACATTGAATGGTTAAATGGAGCGAAATGTAAATTTTTTATTTGTCTGTGGCAAATCATTTTTAATGAGTTTTGTTCGCAAAAATTACATCTCATATAAACGAAATAAAATGTGTTTAAGGATGGAAACTTCCAAAAATTTGATTTTTTAAAGAAACGCAAAAATACGTAAACTTAATTTTTTTCAGATTTTTTGGCTCGAACTTAGCCTTGTTAGGCGAATTTTTTTGAAATTTATAGGGGTGATTTACCCCTTAAAATTGGATTAATCAAATTGACCAAATTGTGTTTTTCATCCCTCCTTATGACACACATTTTCCAATTGGATTCGTTCAAAAAGATTGCATTCTTCTATATGAAACGAACCAAATCGGCACTCGACACCTATTTTGAGGAGTTATTTCTAAAATTGTTTTTCCGCAGATAAAAAAATACGTCTCGCTTATATTTTAGTCAACTACAACATATTGCAAAATTGATAAAATCGGCGGGGGACACCTCAAGTAGTTTATCTAATATATAATATATATTAGTTATCAGTGCAGCAATAAAGAACAAACCTAATATGATAAGGCTGGTCAGATAGAACAAAGTACGTGTAAAGGATTATAAGAGCAGAACACTGATTATAAGATAATGTAAAAATGGTTAATGCTAAAAAACCTTACTTAAGGAGCTAGGTTGGAGGCATAACAAAAATGATAAAAAAAATTAGGATAAAAGTTCCGAATAGGTGAAACGCCCGATTTTTTTTAAACTGCACTATTTTATGTATTTTGGCGCGCTGATTACGAATATAATAATGAAAATCGCCGACAAGGTCATTTTCAAGGTCAAAATTCCAAAAAAAGTGAAATAAAAGTTGTCACTTCTTGTAACATTACATCATTTATGTCCTATGACGTAACAAACAAATGTTTTAAATAAAAGTTGTAGTTCTTGTAAAAATACATTATTTATGTTCTATGCATTTTTTGTGTAAAACTGATAATTTTCGAGAAAATTGACGTTAAAGATTAAAAACTTTGGTAAACAGGTAGGCCTTAGCTTGCATGCGCATGCCGTTCAAAAATGTAGCGGCGTGTGTGCGTATACAATTTATGTATATTTATTAAATCTTTGCCTTGCTAAAAATCTAATGAGTCTACAATATACTAAAAATACTAGATACTGAAAAGATTAGCAAGACTCCAACGCAAGGTGTGTGCGCGCAGAAAGTTTATATGAATTAAATCTTTGCCTTACTAAAAGTATGATGAGTCTACTATATACTAAAAATTTTAATACAGGAAAGATTAGCAAGACCCCAACGCAAGGTGTGTGCGCGCAGAAAGTTTATA